AGGCCGGACAAGGCCTACAGCCCCCCCAAAAATGGACATGTCCAGGTAAAAGAGGATGTATGGTCACCCTACTTAAAGTCGTGCTCATGCTCTGTGAGTTTCCAGATGAATTAAGGGTCTTAATAGTCTTTCAGAGTCTGTAAAAAAAGGCTTTATAGAATATACATCACTGTGAATATTCTCCAGTTTGTTTCCAATATTTTTATACATAAAAATGTTTATTTGAAGATGCCAACAAAAGTAAGAAAAGTGGTCAGCATCTCTCTATCTCAACATCTCTTTCTAGCAGAGTTGATCTGGAACAGCCAGCTGGCTCTTACCTAACTGTATGCTTATAAATTATGTAGGTTGCAAACAACAAAGTTCACTCTCATGAATAAATCAAGCAACTAACTTTTGGTGGAAGGGTTTTTAGAAAGCTAACTTCAGCCAACACGAGCAGGAAGAAAACAGACCATGGTCATCTTTCTAAACTTTGTTATTATCATACTGAATTTTATTGTTTCATGTCATAATAAACTGAATTGTATTGTATAATACTGCATCAGATTGTGCTGAATTGTATTATAGTGTTCAGTATCGTATAACTGCTGAATCTGCTAGTTTTCTGCCTCTGATATTTCTTATTTTCTCTTAGCTAACCTTGAGGATGCTCAAAGATGCATTTTTGTTTCATACATTCAGCCATTTGTTTAACTTTCCTTTGGCGGACAACCTTAACACACTAATGTAAAACCCCCATTCTGCCTCTGATATCTTATCAGAGGGTAAGAACAAGTAAAATATGGGATGTGAAAGTGCAAAAAAGGACCGCGTCAACATTTCTCTTCAGATTTGCTTTCCTCTGGCTCTTGCTTAAGGGCTGAATTGTCCGAGGCTAATTACAGAAGCGGTTGTCCCGCAGTGATGAAATATCAGCAATCCTTCGACAGCATCTTAGAAAATCCCAGCTGTCACTCTGTAAAACCAGCTGTCGACGTGGAACACACCAGCTTGCGTAATCCAATCTGGTTGTCTGAAATTATGTTTGAAACACAAATATGATGATTTCAGACATGAGCACAGAGTCTGAAACTCCAAGGTTTTTTACTTTTGATGCTCTTCTGGGAGCAGAGGTATGCAAGAAGCTGAAATAAGTTTTTTCTTTTTTAAAGATTAAAGGCAGGGAAAAATGTGTCTGACAAGGTGAAGGCAACAAATGTCTGAGGTGAATTTTTCTGAGATGAGTACAACTACTTTGTCACTGCCCTTGAGGAGAATTCGCTGGTATCTGTATCTCTCTAAAGTTTGTTTTTTCCTGATAGCTTTTTACTTTTAATCCCAAATATTTTGCACACAAACTTGTACTTTCTGCTCCTCACATCCACAGTTGGGTTTTAAACAAGCTCTAATGCCTTCAAGGGATTTATGTGTTATTTTTGTTTGAAGTCATGGTGCAACCGTCTCCAACAATAACTGAATAAATGTGACAATAAAACAATATAAAACAAATGTTAGATGAAACGACTGGCTGAGGGTTACAGTTAAAGGTGTCAAGAGTGCTAACCTGGTCAAAGAGAGGTTTCTGGTGAATGTGACGCTCATGAGCAATGGTGAGAACTTGTGGTGACATGAATGAAGGTAAACAAGTCAACACTGAGAGTGACATCAGAGCAGATTTAGAGCAGCAGCACTTTTCCCGTCTCACAGATTTGCACATCAGACAAAGTTAATCATCGTTTAATTTCCGTCTTTCTATGTCGTGTCTTAAAGAGTAGTGTTGCACAGTTGATAGAAATGTCTAAGTTATTGCAGTAAACTGTCACGTAAGAAGTGACCGTACAAACTTACAACCAGTGAGATTAATGCAAAGTTACAGAGACGTAAACAGACAATGACATGCTGAGGAAAGAAACACACCTTTCTCAGCAGTGAACTGTTTGTGCAGCTGTTTAAAAAGGCTGCCATAGCAGATTCAATGGACCCACTAGCAATGGAAGCTGCCATCTTGGTTGTTTACAAACACATCTGCAGAAAGACAGCCATTCTAGACACCAGCAACACCAGGCAAATATGAGTATTGAGACATTAGAAACATAATAAAAGTCTGTGTTCACAAGACTTACATAAAAACAATCAATCTTTCCACATTAACTACAGCATGCATACATTTTTCCTCACAGGTAAACGTCTGAGTATAATTCCTGCATTTTCAAGGAGTCAGATGATACTCATGCTAGCTACCATCCATCCTCTGATCAAACAAACAAATCAAGTTGAATTAAACTTGGATTCATTTTGTATCTTAGGGAGTAACAGGTATGCTAACTGAGTTAGTCTTCACTATTTGTTTATTTAAGACACTTCTTATTGTTCCCCGATGTTGAACATTACTAACACCATTGTTATCATAGCATTGTCAATGTGTAACTAAGACCTCTGTTGTGTAGTGTTGTGTAGTGTTGTGGTTTATAACCCCCTCCTCTTGCTGATTTCCCTTTTGTGGTTGTTTGTACACATTTGTTTCGCTTCCCGGTCTTTTTTTTCCCAGGAACTGTCCATTGTTTTTCTTTGGTCATCATCCAAATCTATCTCTGTATTCAATACTAACTAAAGAGCACGCTTATGTGCCCAGCAGGTCACGCTTTTTAATGACACAGCAAGACATACATGCTGAAGTAGGAAGTAATATTTACATGGCAGATCTACATTAGCCATCTGTTTACATTCTAAACTCTTACCTTAAAGCTCCAATGAGGGGTTTTTCGATAATCATAAAATAGACTGAAACTCATATTAATGCCTTTTTGTGATGTTTATAAGCAAACAAGACAGTTAAAAACATGATTGTTAATATTTTTATTGATAATTTTTGGTGCTTTAAACTGATGTAAGAGGGTAGATGTCAGCCAACCAGCTAGAGAAACGGCCTCATTTTTACATTTTCCAATTAAAACTTTTACAATACATTTTACATTCAACGGTCAAAGGTCTGAAGGATGAGATTTGTTGTCAATAACGCTTTGTCCACACAAACCAAAAGTCCCTCACAGGAGCTTTAAGTTAAAAAAAGTTGAATCATAATCTCTCTTGTCCTTTTTTTTAAAGAGTAAAGAATATTTTCACCTCTCACATGATCATCAAGAGGCAAAATATTCAAAACTCTCCCATGAGAATCAAGAGTTTAAGGACTCAACATTCTCAAGCTAAAGCGCCACTGAGCGATTTACATACATTAAGTGACTTCAAAAGGACTCCTAGACCTGTGAGTCATTATAACTTCTAAAGCTCACTTCCCTCATTTGTGTAATTATCTACGACCAGCTGCGTTTCACCTGTCCAAGACAAAACCCCACTGGGCTGTTGTGATATTAAGTGTTCAGTTCAAAAAGAGTGTTGATCTTACATCCCGTGGTGTTTTTTCTGCTGCTGAAATGATCTCACAATGGGACATCCCATCAGTCTCCCCTGAATAAAGCACAAGTCATGCTGTTTTATTGTCGTGAGCAGTATATGGCTACTCAAACAGCCAGCCTCTGTTTGGTTAGCTATATTTCACTGGCCTGCTGCCCTCACCGCGTGTTGAAAAGGGAGGGAGCGCTCTGACAACAGGTCATATCTTTCGGCTTTGTAATAGAAAGGTGTCCGTGTAAAAGCAGTGGGGTGAGATCACTACATATGATTTAATGACCTACTGTCAGTAGCGTTTTGTTGAGACCGCCTGAGTTGCTCGTAATGTAAAAAGGCCAGCTGTTACCAGGGAAACCATGTTTGGCAAGCAGGGATGATAAATAGCTGCAGTCTCTCCCAAATAATAATTTCTATTATCTGCGCTGGATGTTTAGATTATCATGTAAATAGAGGGGGGCATGCAAAGTGACAGCAGGTAGGAGCTGAGGGCTGGAGGGCAGAGAAAATCTCACACTTCATATTCGTCGATGCCAAGACACACGTAGAGGGGATGTAGTAAACCGCAGCTACCGCTTTATTTACTAAGGTAGTTAAAAATACGAGGCTAGTGAAGTGACAAACTGACTCTGCAGACAAGGAGGAAGTCTTCAAGTTCCTCGAATTGGTGGAACTTCTTTGGTTTCGTCACATTCCTCCGGAGGGCTGAAAGAAACTTCCACTTGCTTTCTCTTATAAGAGACGAGCTTCTGACACACAACTTCACTTTTGACTGGTGCTGATCTAGACTTTAAAGGTAAGAAACCAGCTTCTCTTAATATTATGATTCCTAACAAGATAGTCCTTGGTGTTTGCCTTTTTTATTCTATTCAGAATTTCAACTAAGACTCATAAGATAGATACTAACATTGTTTTGATGATAAAGGAGTTTCTTGAAGCCATGCCAGTGAAAGCTTTAACACAGTCATTTCCCCGATGTAGTTGAGTCATTATGTTTATGAGGGTCATCTTTTTACAACGTGTCTAGTGTTTTATGTATATGCTGACAACAGGGTCTGGGAGTTAACGATAAAATCCAAATTTTTCTGTATTTATGACACTGAGAAAGCAATAACACAGCACTATGATTTGTGCACAAACCTATGCGTGCAGGACCAAAACACTGTCTACTCATTAAGAGATAATTCAGCTGCAGAATGAACGCCAAAGGAGAAATTAAGTGAAAATATGAATCAGTGTTTTATCTCTTCCCTCCTGTCGTCTTTCTGCTTCTGGGTTTGATTGAATTGTTTTAAAGGTATACAGAGAGTAAGTTAGAAATCTCTGCTGTGCCGTGTTGTAAACTCTTTCTATTCTCTCTTATCAGCAGAGCTCAAAACCCTCGAGGAAACGATGAACTTTGGTTTATCAGCGGGGACAGAAAAACCAACGCTGTCTGACCGGGTTTGTTCCAGGCCGCTGACCCACTAAGGCGCCTTCTTCTCCTGTGAATTTGACGGCCCGACACATCGAACTCCCCTTTGCTGCAGTGCGTTCTCGCCCCTGCAAAATCAAGGACTTTCTGTGACACTCTAACTGATTGACTTGAGTGACTTGCTTAAACGAAGGCCACCATGCAGGAGTGCCACACCGGCCTGTGTCTGTCCGTCTACATCATCACCTTTGTGCTGGGATTCCCCGCCAACATCCTCGCCTTTTACACCTTCTGCAAGAAAGTGAGGCAGAAACCAACACCCATAGACATCCTACTCCTCAACCTGACCATCTCCGACATCCTCTTCCTGCTCTTCCTCCCCTTCAAGATGCACGAAGTCAGCAACCGTTTTACATGGAACCTGCCTTACGTCCTTTGCCCATTGTCTGGCTTCATCTTCTTCATGACCATCTACAACAGCACCTTCTTCCTCACTGCAATTAGCGTCGAGCGCTACCTGGGTGTGGCGTTCCCCATCAAGCACACCCTGAAGCGGCGACCGATTTATGCCACCGCTGCTAGTATCTTCTGCTGGATTTTCAACATCCTCCACCTGAGCATCGTGTTCATTGTGCCTCTCATTGGAGATGATAACCCATCGGGTCCCAACGGCACAATCAGTAATGCCCCAAAGAGGAACGTTTGTTACGAGAACTTCACGCCAGCTCAGGAGAAGATTCTTCTGCCTGTGCGTCTCGAACTCTGCATCGTACTTTTCTGCATCCCTTTTTTGATTTGCAGTTTCTGCTACATCAACTTCATAAAGATTTTGTCCAGGCTGCATCACATCGACCGGCGCAGACGCATGCGAGCCATCGGCATGGCTTTGGGAACACTTCTGGTGTTCGCTCTTTGCTTCGGTCCCTACAACGTGTCGCACATTGTTGGATACGTCATGTGGCAAAGCCCAAAGTGGAGGGACAAGGCCCTTCTGTGCAGCACCTTTAATGCCTGCCTAGACCCTCTTATTTTCTACTTCTCCTCTTCTGCTTTGAGGGGGAATGTGGGCAGTATGACGAGAGGGGTTAAGAATCGCCTAAATTGGTGCTTCTCCTGCCAGACACTGGGGGGCTCATGTGGGGGGATTAGCAAGACTACAAAAGATAAGGACACACAAGAGGAGACCAATGAGAGCTAAGCTGACTGAAAGGAAGCTGTGAGCAGCTGCCTTCGCTAATTTGTTATTCCTTCATCCCTGGCAACAGGAAATTAATACCACGTGTTTGTTTGTACATATCAGATAGTGACTTAGCATGCTGTATTTGCTGCAGCATTTCTGAATTACATCCTATTTGGAAACCAGATTGTACAAATTCAACCTGTCCATGCAAGTCTCAACAGCTTTTATGTGGTTAAAAAGTAAAGAAGCCAAACAGACAGCCTATTTTAACCTGTCACATTAAATAGAAACTATCTGTACATACTTAAAGCACCTTTTTATTAAACTTCTTTGAGTGCAGCTGCACTAGCTGTGAAGTGCTACAGCAGAAATGTCAAAAAAAGACAACGCAAAACAGACGTAGCTAACACCTTTAACAGGATGTGCTACATGTTTGTTTAAATGTGTCTATTGTGTGTCAGCCTTGTGGTTTAAAAAAAAAAAGTGAAGTGAGAACTGAAAGAGTCAGAAAGTGTGTCAAGTGTGTTAGAGATTAAAAAAAAAAGCTTTGTACAGCCTTAAAAAAAAAAACCACATCTACAGTATGAAGCTTTAATGACTAATGTGCAATTTTCTACATTTGTAAATATATAATTGTGTTTCCTATTTTGCAAACGTAGCTCTGGGTATTCACATGCAGATCGCAATTTACAAAATGACATGTTTGTAGCATAATTTGATTAGGAACATGCTAATTTAAAATGTAATTTATGTATGAATGTATGTGTGAAAGCTTATGGCAGACATCTGAAAGCTGTATGGTGGGGGCTGTAATTATGTATGACACATTTTTTCTTACTGCAAAAATATAAACATTTATTTTGCATAATTTATGACTCAGATTGTTTTCTACAAGCGTCAGTGTGTGTTTTGTGTGAGTCTCTGAGTGTTTCTGTCTTTCTATCCTTGTGGGGACCGACACTTGATGGACAACCTATCTTGTGGGGACCTTTAAGTAATTGATTAATTATTCCTCCATTTGCTTTTTTAAAGTGATCTCCTGACTCTTCACTTCTTCCTGGTGGTTACTTCACTTTTTTTTTTGCATCACATCAGGTACACCTTATATTTTAGTCCTCAAAGGACCCCTCAGAACGTTGTCCTGACAAGTGTGTGTGTGTGTGTGTGTGCACATATTAATCTCTGTTCTATTGTGAGGATTAACTCTTGATGAGTGACCTCTCTCAAGGAGAAAAAGTTTTTTATACTTTTAGATTTTTTTGTTGTCCTCACAAAATATGTGTGTATATAAGTGTGTGTACGTGTGTGTGTGTGTGTGTGTGTGGGTGGGGGAGATAAATACTAATTTGTTTTTGCAAGACAGTGACAAACAAACATTGCATGTAAATTTCCTTCACAATACATGAATTTAGATTACAGCTTTTATTAAATGTACATACATAAAGAAAATTTGAATAGTATTAAAGTTTAAAGATGAAAACCAGGATAGTATATGAGCAAAAGAGAGCATATTAAGCAAAGAGCATTTGTCATCACTTATCGGCTTGCACTACATCCTTAATCTTGCCCTAAATATAACATTCATTATTACTGGCGGTATCTTGTGTTCCCGGCTGTGTGGGCAGCCCCAAAATTAAAATAAACTTCCTTCAACACGTGAATCAAGATCTGGCCCCGCACACTGCACACATAAACAATGCTATCTCGCAGGCCCGCGCTGGCGTCGGCTTTAATCCTGTTTAGTGCGGATTAGGTCTACACGGAGGTTGAGCTGATCACTGTATCTGTTTGACAGGTGGATCAGGCATGAAGCATTTAGTCTGACACACAGACCTGTGTGAATGACTAAGAAGTGCCAACTACCAGTCTATATCACAATGAGAAAATCCCAAACAGGCGACTCGGCACACCACTGAGATAAAGACTCGAAGAGATAAACAGCTTTGATATGCTGAAAAAAACCGCAGTACAACGAGGTTTACAAGATGTACAGTAATTCATTTGAGCATGGAGCATAAAATACAAGAGAGTTTTAACTGTGGATGATATACAGAATATTGGTCCTGCAGATTATCAACCAATATGAGGGTTATTTCATTATTCAGACGATTAGATTTAAGAGATGTGCTTCGATTTATCCATTATCAAGCTGAAGCAACCTGATCATAGCCTGAATATGGATGTAGTCAAAAGGAACTCACCCATTGGTTTCTGAAGCCCTTTATTTGGGCTATTATCATGCAATTTCACACTAAAATGTGCAATTTTAAAGTTAAAATCCTGAGCGAAACTCACAGTCCAAAAAATGAACTAGTTAGGTTCATGTTTTCCATTCGCACCTAAATTCTCTGTCAGCACAGCCTCCTAAGCTTCAATCCCTAATCCTCAATCACTGACATTTCCAAAACTAAATGGATTACCAAATTCTACTGCAGAAACATAGACGGAAATTTAAAAAGCCAAGGAAATCCCATTTCATTGTGTTTTACCAATTAAACATGCCTTGAAGACTTACGAGACATCCATACATCTATAATATGTTTGCTGTATATCTGGCCAAAGAGTCTGACTCTAACACCAGATCCTTGTTGTATTTGTTCTGACTAGTTGTAACATGTCAGAACAAATCAGCTATCCAGACCAATAAAGTGTTTCACACCTGGCTGTAAACATGTATTTTTGCTGATTTAAATGGGTCTTTTATTAATGGGTGTCTTTATGGCTCCCAGGGCATTTCGGGGCCAGCCTCTAGTGGACACTTGAGGAACTGCAGGTTTTAGCACCTCTGCATTCTGCTTAATTTCTCAATACTGTGGCTTGCTGCTTGATTCCAGCACAGCAGGTGGGGGTATGAGCTCTGCTACAAAACACAGAAAGAGGAAACGCAGCCTCAACAAGCTGCATAGAGAGTAAACAGGGTGTCAAAACAGGTGAATGTATTCACCGTTTTAAAAGGAGGATGACACGATTGCAAATGTACCACAAGAACAAAAGCAAGAAGGTAGTTGAAAACATTGAATATTGATTTATAAAGAGAGAACTTTTTCTTGCTAATCTGATTTTTCTTATCAGTGTCAGCTCAAAAAATCCATATCACAACAGAGAGAAAGACAGAACTATAAGTAACATTTATTTTAAGGTTAGAATTAATTGCCATTTTCAGCGCTGACTTGATTTCTGTGATGTTGTTTGTCAAAGGTTGGTGCTGAGATGAGTCGCACTGAACACCCGCCGGCCCTTTATTTTGCTCTGCTTCCGTCTTCATTCTCTGTTTCCTGGAAGACAATAATTGGTTGCTGCGTCAGTGTTGACTCTTTGTGAACAATGTGTGGCAGGTAACAGGGATAAGGCAATAAGAAAAACAGCCCTTTACGAGTGAGTACATGTGTGTGTTTGTTTGCACATGATGATATGTTTGCCGAAGGCAGAGAAAGATGTTCTACTCACATGACAGAGACATCACTTTCCCTTCAGGCAGCAATGTTTGACTGCTGTGGAGAGAAAGATCACATACATTAGCTGATGTTTTATTACTTTTTGTAATTCTAGTCGAGTTTCCTCACTCACCTTCCAATAAAAACACAACTGTCACCGCAGAGAGGAAACACATCTTGAGGATATTTAGGCATACTATCAGCTCATTAGGGGAAGCATCTGGAAAGTAGAACAAAAAAAGAAAGAAGGCCAACACTGATTAGCACCGACTTATCGTCTTATTGAGCTCCGCAGAATTAAATCAGGAGGGTCGAACTGGCTTTGGTTGATGGACATTGCCTCCTCCCTGGGCGGAGAGGTGTTTAAACATTGATTGGGAAAATCATTAATTTGTTCAAGTATGCAGAATTGCAGGCAATCTGTTGCCTCGAAATGATCAATGTCTGACCCACATTAACAGTCAAGTAGGACAAACACTGATGAGGCGACTTAATATACGTGAGGCCCTGTCCTCTCTGAGCTCTGTGTCAGTGCAGACTTTAATTTTGAGGAAAGTTACGTATAGATTAGTGAAAAAAGGCCTCTGTGTTTCCAGAAGTCAAAGTCTTGTTTGTTTACTGTATTTGGAGGTTGAGGTGACAAGAAGTTGGAGTTTTGATTCCGCTTGACTCAATACAGAAGCTTCACTGGTATATAAGGTACAAACCTGTGTATATAAAAAACTTGAAATTGCACCAATCAATGTTTTCATATCAATAATTGATTAGTTGACTGCTTGCAATATGAATGAGGTCATCTGTAATGATACTTCCTTCAGCTCTAATGAGCTTTTTCAGTTATTTACAGCTTGTTATTCTACTTCCTGATACATTTTCACTCAGCAGAATAAGACATGAGACAGTCAAGGTTGGCAATTAACTAACAATCATAATCCCTGTGCTAACATTTCCTGAGCACTACTTAAAAGAGAGTTATAATTAGACTTAACACTTGTCAGACGTACCAATTGCTTGAGTTGTTCCGCAGCTGCTAAATTAGTTAATTATCAGCTTTTACTTGCAGCTGATTCAGTCTCCTTTAAAGGTGTGCAAGTGCTCAAAAGTTGCCCAACAGTGTGTTATTATAGGTGTAAGGAGAGAGAGTCAACTTTCTGCAGACTACAGCTGAGAGTTCCTGCAGAAACCAGGAGAAAACCTTTTGGGCTTGACAAGAAAGCAGACATGCTAAATGTTGCATTCCACCGGGTCACCACTTGACCATGGCCAGAATCGTGGTTGCACCAGACTGAGTAATAGGTGGGCGCCACCAACCACAGACTGTTTTAAAAATGGATGTACCCATTCAATTTCTGAGATGCCAATCAACAGCAATCTCTACCAAATTGAAAAAGCTGACTCACTCAGATTCTGATTAACCAGAGCTATTTGGTCCACTTTAAACAAACTACGGTCCATTTCCTCAGATAGTTTGCTTTATCTGAAATGGTGCGAAAGCAAATATAAACTCTGGTACGGGCCAAACAAGTTAACTCCAGCCAGCTTGAAAACGAGGGTCCTGATTAGCTTCCAAGTGAACTAGTCTGGTTCGTTTGAAAGTTCTCTTCCTAAACTCAGAGATTTATTCATCTTGTGCAGAGAACAACAAGCTGGACTGGTCATTCCCTCGCCTGATGCTCATACTAGGACCCTTTTAGTCAAACGTATTCATCACCTCCGCGAAGGAGGTTATGTTTTCGGTAGCGTTGGTTTGTTTGTTTGTCTGTTAGCAACTTTACGGAGAAAGTAACAGACGTATTGACCTGAAATTTTCACCAGAGGTGCGTCTCAGCCCCAGGAGGATCCCATTACATTTTGGTAATAATAATGGTGTCTTTGGGATTTTCAATGCTGAAAGATAACCAATGGGCGGCACAATAGTGTCGACAGGTGGCACAGTGGTGCAGTGGTTAGCACAGTTGCCTCACAACCAGGAGGTCCTGGGTTGAATCCCTGTCAGGGCGTTTCTTGTTTAAGGGGGGGCATGAGCTGCTTGGCGGAGGTCTGCGCTCTCCGAGTGCTTTTCTAGTTTAATATGGGTTATGTGCAATATGTGTTCTCTGTTGTATGTATGTATCGTATCATTGTATTGTATCATATGAACACCATAACAAAATTAGAAGCTCTGAGAGAGACTGCATAAAATGGGGTCTTTCTCTTTTATTTATGAGGTGAACAAGCCAATGAAAGGGGTTTTTGTCATGGACGATAGATGAACTGTTTTAAACATGATCTTCGTCTACTTCTTCACTTTTGTCAGTGTTTACCTGCCACAATAAACTACCCAGTTGTTATGGTTAATATCAGATAAAAAAACATGGTTTGCTTTATGGTTTATCCTTCAAGCAGATTATTCATGAAATCCATTTCTTTTAGATCCATTATTTCCAAATCCCAGCTCTGACTTACAGATGTCAATATTTGTGTTCAGCCTAGTTATCTTGTTACTTTTTTTACTGTATGTCAGACTGTGATTAGTCTGTCATGAGCAGTGTCAGAGTCCTCTTATGGTTTTCTAACATGCCTTTCACCCTTGGCAATAACAGGGCCTCCTACCTTTCCACATAGCTTTCTGTTTCATAAAGAAGACAGATGTACCGTATGGCAATTTAACAGTGTTTAATTCAATTATTTCTACCAAAACTCTGCAGTTTAAAGCCCGCTGAGTTTCAGATTCTAGCTCACTGTTGGGTGAATTTAGCAGCTATATGCAGTGTTTTTTTCTTACAAATTGCAGTGACATGCTGTATATTTTTCACAGCAGTGATTCATCCAACTGACGAGCTTGTTCTCCAGAGCAAACAGTGGGTTTCATAATATTTAGAGCCATCTGTCATACCAAACTGACTGGAGAAAAGACATCTCAAGTTAAATATTTAAAAGTAACGGGTATGATATTAAGTCCTATAAATTTTTCATGTGGAGGAACGTTTCAGATATCATTAAAGAAAAATCTTCAAAGGGTTAATTAAAAATTTAAAAGCCATTCAACAAGCTTTGGCTCTTGTGCCTCCTTTGCGTATTTCTCCTGTGGAAAATGATGAATTTTTAAAGATGATCTTATTCTGTATATTTATTTACCCCATGTGAAGGAAGTTGTAAGAGCGGTGCTCAGAGCAGGGTGGTCCTGGACTCCACATGTAAAGGTGACTCCTGTGTCCAAAGACTGTTTCAGCGGGAGGAGAAACAGGCTGAGGAGGAAAACTTCCTGGCTGTAGTTGTCCATCACTTGGAAACACTTGGGCTGGTTTAAAGGTGTGGAGTTCACCAACCAAACAGAAGACAGCAGGGCTCCATCAGCTGGGTGTCCAGACACATTACTGTGAAGGCTGATTGCGGGAAGGGTGCAATTGGTGACTGACAGGTGATCGATATCTGCCGCTGTGCTCTGGTAAGTCCAGGTGAGGGTAAGCTCGCTGGGGTGGAACCCCCCGGTGAGACAGACAAGAGCCCACTGACCAGATAGAGGGTCAGGGGGGACTTGGAGGTAAATTTTTGGAGCAGAGGGGGGTCCTGGTGGGAAGAAAAGGTTAAGAAACAGAGTAAACACCTCATGTTGAGAATTCAGGCTGTAAAAACATGGGTCACTGCATCGACAAATATTAAGTAGGCGAAACAAAAGGGAGAGAAAAAGAATTACTGGAATATTCACAGCCAATTAATGAAAAAACAAATTAAATCAAATTGAAAAATTCAAATTAAATCAAAATAAAGTAAGAAGAAAATATCACTGTATAGTTTGATGAAAATATAATAGTAAAGTATGATTAAAAAAATGTCATAGTATACTATGAAAAAAATGTGAAATTTTAGTATGAATATATTAAACTGTAGTATGACAAAAATATAATAGTATAGTATGATAAAAATTTCATAGTATATTTTTTAAAACATTTCAAATTTTCATATGATATAAAGTAATAGTATCGTATGATTGATATTATTTTAACATGCAATAACATATTATTGCATGTTTAAGTGTTATAATAAAGTATGATAAAAAAATTCACATTCAAGTAGGGAAATTAAATTAAGATAAAGTAAAATGAAAATGTCATTGTGTAGTTTGATGGAAATATAATAGTAAAATATGATAAAAAAAAGTCATAATATACTATGATAAAAATGTGAAATTTTAGTATGAATAAATTATAGTGTAGTATGACAAAAATATAATAGTGTAGGATGGTAAAAATGTCATAGTATACTATGATAAAAATTTCAAATTTTCGTATGACAGGAAGTCATAGTATAGTATGATAAAAAAAAAGTCATAGCATAGTATGACTTAAATGTTATAGGATAGTATGATCAAAATTTCACATCTTTAGTATGGAAAAAATGACATTTTTATAACACTATACTGTGAATTTTTTATTATACTATACCGTAATATTTTTCTTATCATACCCCTCAAGATCTATACCAAATTTATGAGGCTGTAGATATATTATAATATTACAGTTTTTTCTTTTTTGGGGTGCAGTTGAATTAAACATGGTGCTGATTTTTTTGCCAGTTCATTACCACATCAGGTGTGTCTTGAAGAAAGCTCAGCTGCATCCCTTCAATAAAAAATGAGTTAGAGGCCATTGACCACCACCAGGTGGCGCTACAACTTACAGACGTAAGTGTCAAATTGTCTGTTGCTGGACCATCATCAAATGACAAAAATCTGATGGAGGTGGAACCAGTATATGGTAAGTTATACAGGAAGTTGAATGGAGTTTATTATGTTTCAATAACCAAATTCTCTCCTCTGTTCCTACGAGTTAAAAAAAAGTTTTGTTCTTTATTTCATTTTTTTAATTTGACTTAATTTTTAGAAATTGCATGATTTGGTGTAATGAACTGAAGTTCATTTCTAGCTTACTGTTGTCTCTAAAATAATGAACCTTTTTTTTCTGTTGGAGCCACCTCTGATTGCTGTGTTTTTTGTTTTGTGCCTGACTGGTTAAGATTTATGTTTTCTGGGTTTGATAAGAAAACAAAGTTTGTTTCAAGCTAAAAAAAAAAAACCCAAACAAACAACATTTTGATGCGATTGATTCTGCCAACAAATCAGAGGTTCTGTGAGTTTTTGTAGTTTGAAAAAAGGATTATTTTGATTGCAATTTCGAGAAAAGAGTGAAAGGTTTTAAGAAGTCTGTCTGAACAAGTAAGACAAACTATTTTCTACTTTTAAAACTTTTAATACAATAATCACAATCACAACTGTTGCTTAATGTTAAACCTAAAACAATCAATAGAAATGCATCATTATTCAATGTTGATTTACATTTTGAATGAAACATGAATAAAACAGATAAAAAATACTGAATATCAATTGTTATTTGAAGTCGACTTTGCATTGGAAAAAAATCAAAGGGAGGCTTTTCTTCCGCTTGAGGGATTTCCACATAATAATTTGGCCATCCCTCCCTGCCTTGTTTTCTGGCGAGTTTCAATTCCCTGGGCAAGATCGATACAAGGCACTGCGCGTGGTGCCGGGGTGATTATTTCTAGATCTGTCATGAAACTGCTCAGGCAAAAAGATGAACTCGGAGGGAATTTCACATGACTTGAATTTTTATGGATGGAGTTTGGCCCTCTTTCCCTTTCATGGAGATGCATGGTCTACACCTGCAGCTTGTATCGAGCTGACTAAGACTAAACGCTGTTCCAACAAAAGATACAAATGAGCTTTAATTACCAGCATGGAAACATCACCCGAGCAGGGCAAACCCTGATGAATTTCTGATCTGTGCAGTTAGTTTCTCACCCAAGACAACCAGCTTGGTGCCGTTTCCCATTCCTGGGTCCCTCTGTAGGACATTCACCTCGCAGTAATACCACCCAGAATCCTCCAGCGCTACCCCGGAGATCTCCAGGGACGAAGTTTGATCCTCCTTCACAACGACGTGCCTGGATGACTTCGGGATGAGCTGCTTCCCCGGCTTCATTTTGAACCACTGAACCCCATACTTGAGGGATTCAACTTTGAAATGACAGAACAGTTTTGCCGTTTCACCGCGCATCACACGAAGAGAGGGAGGATTCTGTCTCACCCTGAGTCCCTCCGGGGTCGCTGTCAGGGCTAAAGACAGAGCCATTAATGCAATGTGTCATACAAGGAACTTCTAGAAAGTGCGGAGAAGACCTGTGGGTCTACTACAAATACTTTTTAATGTGAGTTAAGTTCGCCTGCATGACAGCCAGGAGCAAGATTTCCCAGATGCAGACAATGAGACGAAAAACTCAAACAAACCAGAGGCAGAAAATCGGAGATCAATTTCACAATGCATCAAATCTTTACTGAATGTGATCAGCTTTTCCAGATTACAAATGCAGCCCTTAAAGACTCTTTCTTTTGTAATGCAGACACGTACAACACAAAAGATTTCACAAGCTTTGCGATGATTGTTTGATTGGAGTGACTGCTTGTCAGGCTAAGTGTGATGAAGTGATAATTAAGTGTGATGATGATGAAATACTGCAGATAAGATAAGCAAAACACTCAGTCGCTTACAACTGGAGTGCAGATGACAAAGGCGAGGAGCAAATACACAAAAATGATGCTGTAAATAGAGGGTGTGTCTATACTGTCTACTCTCGATCAATAAAGAAACAGTAAATGCAAAATTTATCGACTGATTCAACCCTTTTGTCAGGGATGGAATTGGTAAATATTTTCTCTCGCTCCATCAACATTGATTATTTTTAAATATGTTGAAATTGCAAGGACTTCTACTTTGAAAATAAATGCGAAAAAAAAAGTTGTTTCATTGCAGAATAAAAGACAGAAGCCTCTGAAATTGAAAAAATATAAAAGGACAAAAAGGCTCAATAGAGATCATTTAAGGCCTTGGCTGACAGTTTACACAAAGCCAACACATTTACCAACACGACTGACTTGATTTCAGACTGACCTGCTACTTGGCCTGCAAACAAAAGAAGTAAACCCAGACGAGGCAGGTTTGCCATGCTGCTGCCGTTCCCCTCTCTGAGCCTGAGAGGTGAAATTATTTCTCAGGTACTCTCAGGTCTGGAGCTGGCTGTACTTTAAAATGTGATGGTGTCAGCTTGTTTTTTTTAGGGGGTTGCTGCACTGTATGGTTAGAGGTGATGGTTCATTAATAGGTCAGTCTTTGACAGAAACCTGAATCTCGGACTCTGTCTGGGGGGAAAAAACTACAGATGAGAGTGTCTCGGTAAAGAAACAGACGGCTTGTCTGTGAAGAAGGAAACCACAATGCTGCTTTTGTGGAGACCTGCTGCAATGTCTGGGCAGGTTCTCATCTAGAGAGGTGCTATTTACCTCAACAAAGACAGTCAGATTCTGATTTCACTTCAAGTCGTTACATAACAACCAAGTCATGTTGTGGTCTTTACACAAATTTTTGGTTATTTTTCCTTTAGTTACACACAATAGACCACTCTATCCATTTAAATCATCTCAAATATTTGGTATCCAGGGTAGTGCTCTCCAGTGGTTCATGACTTCTCTGCATCTACCCTAATCACCCATGGAGTACCTCAGGGGTCCATATTAGGGCCTGTTCTGTTCACCCTTTGCTCCCTTTAGGTTCCATGTTCAAAAAACTCAATATTTTGTACCATTGCTATGGAGACGATACTGTGGTATCTGGAGTACTGCGCCACCATACGAGGACTTGAGGCATTGCTCAGGAATAGCCTGAGCTGACCAATTGTGGAATGAGGGCTTGTGTCTTTTCGTGTCTCTTTTATGGTACTTGTGTCGGATATCCTGGAAGCTGCAGTTTTGCAGGTCACAGGTCACAGGTCAAAGTTCTAGGCTAAATAAAAAAACAGATGGTAACAAAGATACCTTGGGAGATGTAGGAGGACCTACATCTCTGACTCTATATAACAGGAGCCCAAACTCTGGTTTGAGAGAGCTGGACATCATTGGCAGTCCTCTCAACTGCAGTGCTGTATTGATACTGGTGTTGTCTTTATAATAAACTCCTCTTATACAAGCAAGCCAGTGTCACGAAGCCTCCTTCTGCATCTACACATCGCGGACAGACCAGACACGACAATACCCTGTTATACCTCCCTATCAAAAACTCAGCCGAGTTCCTCCTTGAATACCTCCATGATGTCAAACGCAGGATTTAGCTCATCACTTAGGGACCTAATCTTGGTATAATTTTTGACCCTGCTTTGAAATTCAACAACAGTGAAAATATAAACACTTCTGCCATCTCAATGACTTTAGCTTTATAGTATTAGCTTTCAACTGGACAACTGTGGTACACTCTATATGGGTATTAGCCGGTCATCTCTGTCCTGTTTACAGTTGGTCTTAAATGCTGCAGTTAGAACCAGAAAGAGACAGAGAAGAGACATCCATAAGACTTCAGTAGAAATAAAGTGACAGATGGTTGAAAGACTCCATCAAAAGTCTCTCTTTGAGTTGAAAATGACAAAAGGAGGCACTTTTTTCTTTCATAGTACTCCCACTACCTTGACACAGAAATATCATTTGCAGATTAATTTTGCAAATAAAAGATCTGAGCTTTACAAAAAGAGTCTAAGAGAAACTAAATCCTAGAGAACTCTTCATTTTAGAAATACTGCTAATCACTGACCCTGTATTTTTCACGTTTTTGTTATCATCTAAGGAGAAATAACTTCTTTATCCTTTTATGTCATTAAAAGTCAGTGTCACCCTTTTACAACTTGTCAAATCTGACAACAATCTCCATTGTTGAGGAACTGTTGAATCACCTCTTTGTGTAAATGCATCCCAAGGTTGGTAAGCCCTTGGGAAAGCAAAAGTATGATGTTTCTCACTCTTTGTTTCTTCTTTCATTGTTTCTTTCTCCTGTGTCCTTCTTGATTAATTCTATTATTCATAGTTTTTGCTCTTTCTCGTTTCAGTCAGTGTAAAACACTTTGAATTGCATTTGATGTCAAACAGTGAAGGTGCACTATGAATAAAGTTTGATTTATTTAGTTTTTCTATTTTTATTCCAGCCGCATAACTCTCTGTTACCTGACGTGAGTAAATATCTCTCTGCTGCTTTATGTTTGTCTGGTTGTGAGCAGGTTTACAAAAAATGTACAGACCTGATATCCACGAAGTTTGGTGAAAGAATGAAACTTTTTCTAAGGAAGAGTTGACAAAAATATGAGTCCTACATTAATCTGAATTACCAAGAAGTAACTACCAGAAGCTAACATGCCTCACACTTTGTAAAAATGTGTTATTTTAAATGAATCTTGAATAACAAGGTGTAAAGTTAATGTTATTTCAATTCATGCAATTCATACCTGTACATGATGACGATAATTTGTGTTATTTGGATTTTGGATGTTGAATTTTCCTAACCTGAAGAGAACTTTTGCTAATTCAGTTTATAGTGATTGTAGTATTGGATTACAGTACTGGATCACTCCATGTATATTTTTTTATGACCAGTTTGAGGATCACACAAGAATAATCTTGTAGCATAAAATCAAAATGGATTAACTTTATCTTATTCAGATTAAAGGAAAAGAAAAAAATTCATTAAAAAAAACATAATATTTGACCCACCTTTAGGCTCTATACTGTAGCTGTCTTTGGATTATGTATGTCACATCATATATAATGCAGTAGTTCTACTCACTCCAGCTATGAGATTAAGGTCTTTTGATAATCGCAGCATTATGTGTGAAACCCTGACATAATGATCCACACACACATAAGAGAGAGGCTGGAAAGGAAACGCTGGCAATGTCTTGATTATGGGATTTATCGCTATCATAATCGTACCAGTAAAACTGCCACCGCAGGAGGAGCTGGAATAAACAGCACGCAATGAACAGCTAAAATACAGCACTAATAATAAAAACTCAGACAAATGTGAGTTTTAGGTGGAACATCAGACATTAAAAATTCATCATCTCTTCTCCACTGAGCATTTCATCCGTCACCTAAAATATGAGCTGTGATTCCTCTAACGGGCCGGGATAGTTTAAGGGCTCAGTGTGACTTTTGTCACTTGTCTGCAAACTTTATCCAGCTGCGTGTTTGTAAAGACATAACCAGATATTTGCTGCTATTACCGTTTACAGCTTTGTGTCCAAACTTTGATTTCTGGAGGTGCATTTGGGAGCAAAATAAATATAAAGTTTTATGAAGATGCTAAACTTTTAAAGATTGAAAATGAGAATGTAGCAGTAGACTGTAGACTGAATGCAGCAGTGGACACACCAATCCAGCCCAAAAGTGACTAAAACGTGACTAAAACTAAAAGGCATTTCAGTCCAAATTCTAAATAGGTGCCAAAATTAACAATCTACAAATATTACTAATGGAAGAAGAGGAGACTCTAACAAGGATAAATTCAAAGTCAAAATATGGTCCAACATTGATTTAGTGATTTGAGAGAATAGAGGGGTTATAGATCTTTCAGTTGAGGAAGAAAAGGTCAGAGGTCATTACAGGAGGGGTAGAGAAGCATAAACACACAGTATTCTCATCTGGATACTTAGAGAGAGTGAAAAAGGTTAAAAATAAAGAAAGGCTGGAGTATTTTTAGAGGAGGGAATGGCCCTTTCCATAGTTTACTCTCGAGAAAATTCGGTTCAGGATACGCAAATGTTTGTGGAAATAAAATGACTTTTATCACTCTAAGCTGTAGTTTCTAGCTTCTTACCTAAAGATTGACTCCTAAAACACGAGCAGCCAGTTTGAATCTGAATAAAATATATAAGTCAAGATGACTGACACTTCGATCGATATCAATATTTTCTTCAGATCATCTCTTTTATGAAGTTATCACCCGTTATACCTTTCTGTTATTGCTTGGGAGGCGGTTTGTGTGATATCAGCCTTATATTCTGATGGCGTCTCTTCATACTGAGTTCTCACACATTTGAATAAAAGCCCCAGAGACAAACCTGCAAACACAACAAAAGAGAAAGGCTCTTTACTCAGCAGGAAGCAAAAAAATATGCTGAAGCAACCCGTCTGACCTCACCTCCTTTTCCAACCACAGGGGCCAACGGAGCGCTGCGCCTCTATCAACAAACCACACACAGAGAGTCTGTTAAAAACAAAACTGAGTTTTATTTTTTGTCTCTCTCCACTTGATATGAT